AAAAAAAAAAAAAACCACCTAACCGAAAAAAAAATTTAAAAGAAAAAAAAAAAAGTCACTTCATTAGTTTTTTTGCATTTAAAAGGGGGGGGAGAGCTGCCCCCCCCCCTCCCCGCTGCAGCCCTCCCCCCCTGGAGGGAGCTGGGACCCCCGGGGGGATGGGGGGGCTGCGGAGGTGCTGGGCCTGCGTCCCTCCCCCACCTCCCCCCCGCAGGCGGCACTTCAATTTGGCACATGGAGGGGGCTGGGGACACCCCCACCCTCACACCCCCCCAAACCTTCCCTGGGGGGGCCCCATCTCCCCTCTTTGGCACATGGGGGGGGTTTCAGCAAAGGGGGGGGGGAAGGGGGGTGGGTTCATCCTGACCTTCCCCCCCCCCCCCCAAAAAGAAAACCCACCTCGGTGCAGGGCTGGGAAACACCCCCCAAAACACCACCTTGGTGTGTGAGGGGGGGCACAGAGGGGTCAGCCCCCCCCCTCCAACCACCTCCCTTGTGTCCATTTCTCCCTTTTTTTTTTTCATTTTTTTTTTTTTTTTAAATACGTGGATTTGGGGATTTCTCTTTCTTTCCTTGCCTGACCCCAGCACAGGCTTGGGGGGCTGGGGGGGCACCATGGGGACCCCCCTTAACTGCCCCCAGGGCCGGCATTGAGGAAGTAGGTGGTCATTTCCCCCTTGCCCTTGACCTTGACCAGCCCCCGGCACTCCAGCACGTAGCCCTTGGCCGCCAGCACCTGGTACAGGTCCGTTGTCACCTGGAGGGGGGGGGACACGGGGGTGAGGGGGGGGTGCTGGGGTCCCTGGGGGAGGAGGTCCCGTCCCCCTGCCACCCCCCCAGCTGACCTGGATGCGGTCGGGGACCCCCGTGCTGTCCATGCGGCTCGAGACGTTGACGGTGTTGCCCCAAATGTCGTACTGGGGCTTGCGGGCCCCGATGACCCCCGCGACCACCGGGCCCATGTTCAGGCCTGGGGGGGGGAGGACACAGAGAAGGGTCAGGGAACCCCCTGGGGAGAGGGGGGTGGGAGGGAGGGGAAAAGGGATGGGCAGAGGGAAAAAGGGGGAGGGAAAAGGGAGAACAGGGGAAGAGCCACGATCCTGACGGCCAGGAATGCACAGGGGGGCGTGAGGGGCTGCTGGAGCCGCCAGGGGCACGGAGGGACCCACCGATCTTCATCTGGAAGTTGTTGAAGGAGTGCTCGTTGATGTACTTCATCTGCTCCATGAGGTGCATGGCGTAGTCGGCCAGGGCCGCGATGTGGCTCCGGCCCTCGCGGTCGTAGGTGGAGGCGTTGAGCCCCGACGCCGCCATGTAGGTGCTGCCGATGGTCTTGATCTTCTCCAGCTGCCGGTACTTCTGCTCGCTGATGATCTGGGGGGACACACACACGGTAGGGCTGTGAGTGCCCCACGTCCGCGGACGCTGCTCCGTGGCTTCTCCAAGGCCCCGCTTTCCTCCACCCGTCATCCTGCACCGCCTCTAAGCTGCTCCACAGCCTCCCTGTGCACTTCACCTGTGCACTTCACCTCCACACCTCCTGCACCCCGTGCCCCCTCACTTGTCCCCCCCCCCGCCAGCACCTCGTCGAAATCGGCGATGATCTCGTTGAGCAGCCGCAGGCACTCCACGCCCTCGTTGTTGGCCTCCAGCTCCACGTAGAACTCGGAGAAGTTGCTGATGGAGGCGAACATCACGGCCACGCACTCGCAGGACTGGTAGTAGAGCTCGTCGTTGCGCCGCTCCCGCGCCAGGAAATGCGCGGCCACGTCCTTGGGCAGGATGTTGTGGAGCAGCCGCCGGTTGTAGGCCTGGAGCTCCTCCATCTCCTCCTTCTCGCCCGTTGCCTGCGGGGAACGCACCGGTGCGGGGGCTGCCGGGGGGGCCCCAGGGCCAGCCCGGGGTTGGGGCACGTTCTGGTCCCGGTGTGAAGGAAAAGGGTCGTTCCCAGCCCCCCCCCCGGTCCTACCTGGAGCTTCCAGAGGAAGTCAAGGCGGGCGGTGGACTCGACCTGCTGCGCGTGCAGGTAAAGGGCCAGGGCGAACACGGCCAGCACGGCGGGGGTGACGAACCGCAGGGCCACCTTCCCCTCCGCGGGGCTGTGGGACCCCCAGAGCCCTGAGATGGGCTGAGGGATGGCCCCCGCCCACCCCAGGGACCCCAAATCTGCACCCAACCCCTACAACTCACCCTCACACTCCAGGGACCCCAGAGATCCCACCCAGACCCCAAAGGCCCACCCGCTCAGCCAAGGGAGCCCCAAAGATTCATCCAACCCCAAGGGTGCGCCCAACCCAGAAGCCGCAAAGCTGCACCCACATCAGACCCCAAAGCTGCACCCACATCAGACCCCAAAGCTGCACCCACATCAGACCCCAAAGCTACACCCACATCAGACCCCAAAGCTGCACCCATCCTCGCAGCACAGACCCTCCCCCCCCAAGGCATCTCCTGCTGCTGCCCACCCTCACCCCCCTACCCCCAGTTCCCCACTGGTCCCAGTTCCCCGCTCACCACTCGCCCTGGGTCGCGTTGAAGGAGGGCCTGTGGGGGAGAGGAGCCGGGGTTAGCGGGGTGGGGACACATCTCGGAGTTTGGGGACCCCGGGGGGGGCACATGGGCACTCACAGGGCGTTGGCCACGACCAGCAGGTCGGCGTTGTCGAAGAGGGCGGCATGAGGCCCCTCCACCAGCAGCAGGAACGTGGCCTCGATGGCCACCATGAGCAGCAGCTTCCCGATGCTGCTGATGTGCAGGAAGACGGAGCAGGCGAGCAGGCTCAGCACCACGCTGTAGCTGAAGTACTGGGGGGGGACACGGGGGGGATGCACTGGGACCCCAGGAACGCAGGATGGCACCCCCAGAACTCCTGCAGCCCGCCCCAGCAACCCCTAATGGCAGCCCAGGAACCCCTGCAGCACCCCAGGAACCCCAGGCAGCACCCCTGGGAACCCCTGCAGCACCCTGGGAATGCTGGATGTCACCCCAGGAACCCCAAGTGGCACCCCACGCCCATGGGGACCTTGCACCCTTGGGGACACCCTCAAGGGCTCAGTGCCAGCACCCGCAGAGGACCTTGGACCCGAGGGACCTGTGCCAGCAGCCTGTGTCTGCAGGGACCCTGTGCCGGCACCCAGCACGCTCAGGGACCCCTGGCAGCATTCCTGGGGACCTAGGGACTGCAGAGACCCTGTGCCAGCACCCAGAACCCGCAGGGACCCTGTGCCAGCACCCAGAACCCCCGGGAACCCTGTGCCAGCACCCAGGGAGGACCGGGCACCCCCAGGGCTCTCCGTGCCCCTGTGCTCAGGGGTGACAGCAGTCCCTCACCTCGGGGAAGTCACAGGCCAGCCCGTCACCGTGGCAGGAGCCAGGGGGGGTGCCCAGGGAGAAGTTAAGGGCCCGGAGCTGGCAGGGCCCCACGGCCTCGGGGGTCACGTTGAGCTCGCGGGCGGCACATTCCCGCAGGGCCACGCGGCTGCAGGAAAACTGGGAGGGGGGGGCAGAGGGGTGAGACAGTGCCCCACAGCCCCTCACAGCCTTCCACAGCCCCCTAGAGCCCCTCACAGCCCCCCATGTCCCCACCATGTTGATGAAGGCAGCGATGAAGACGAGCAGGATGGCGAAGACGGCGATCCCGGTGCTGCGGGCGCGGGACTGGACGATGCTCCGGGAGAGCCTTTGCAGGGCGGTGGGGAAGAGCTGGGGGGGACAGACACACACAGAAAGGACCCCGTCACTCCCAGATGAGCCCCCCAAAGCCCCTCCCCAGCCCTCGGGCCGGCACTCACAGTGACGCAGGAGTAGACGGCGCAGACGAAGAGGATGGCGGCGAGGAGGATGAAGATGCTGACGTAGACACCGAGCATCAGCGGGGAGCTGGGGAGAGGTGGGGGGTGAGTGACGGGCTCGGGGGGTCCAGGGCCGGGGTTTTTGGGGGGCTGCA